GAAGGGAGAGGGAGAGAGAAACATCAATGATGAGAAAGAATCATTCATGGGCTGCCTCCTGCACACCCCCTACCGGGGCTCGAGCCAGCAACCCAGGCATGTGCCCTTGACCCTTCAGTCCACAAACCATCGCTCTATCCACTGAGCCGAACCAGCTGGGCGGTTTTATCCACCTTCAGAGACCACAACTGTGGAGGGGCTTTAGGGAGCAATTGGTGTATAAAAATAACCCTGAAAGGCAAGTGGGATTTCAAAGGCAGAATCCAGAGGAGGGATGCTAGGCCAGGACCATCGTGAGGAGGTGGGAGAGTAGCTGGTATGTTTGGAAAAGCAAGAAGCCCTGCTTTGCTTGCTGGGGCACAGAGTATGTGCAGAAGTGGCTGGAGGGTAAGTTAAGGCTGTGCTGTGAAGGGCCTTGAGTGACAGGGCATTTGATAGGTGAGGTGAGTGATCTGAGTCGGTGTAGCGGAGGGAGGCTGAGAAGGAGGTTCCAGTTACTACCGCAGTGGTCAGCGGAGGAGCCAGGGGAAAGGCCTTAGAGCTGGCCAGGTCAGGGAAATCCTCCTCTGGTCATGGCTGTGCCTTCTCTCTTGGGCCCAGAAGTAGCCCTAGGTTGTCTAGATCCCACCCTCCAGTCCCACCTGTGCTATCAGGAAATGTTTTCTGAAGCTTGCTTGCAGGAAAAGTGGAAGCAGCTCAGGGTGGGTGGGGAGTATTTGGAAGCCAGTTAATTTTTCTCTTTTTCTCCCCCCCCCCCCCCCCAACGTCACATGTATTGAACCTAAATCCCTCATTCTAAATCCGTGATCTAGAATCATCACTGATGGATGCTCTGCTCTCCTTGGGAACAGTCATCTGTACTGCTCTTTGGCGCCTTAGCTTTCTTTTCTCGGCTTAGTGGCTCCTCCTCTTCTGTTGCCCCCCTGATACCCACTGTGAGCAACTCAGTCTTGGTTCCAGAGGCCTGATCTGGTAGAATGGGGGAGGCTGACCCGCACCCCCCTCCCCGCCACACACACACACACACAGCTTAGCTCTAACCCTCCGTTTCCTGCCTTGCTCCAGACAACCTCTCCTACATTGAGCACATCTTTGAAATCTCTCGCCGACCTGACCTACTCACTATGGTGGTTGACTACAGAACCCGTGTTCTGAAGATCTCTGAGGAGGATGAGCTGGACACCAAGCTAACCCGTATCCCCAGTGCCAAGAAGTACAAAGGTAAGAAGAGGCCTTGCCTTTACTGTGCACTTGTGCCCTCTCCCGTGGATGATCCCTGGAGTTGCTTGCACTCTGGGAGCATGAAGGCTGATGTTCAACAGGCCTGCCTGGTGTCTCCCATATTCCATCCCCGGACATGTCCCTTTTTGCCCCCAGACATTATCCGGCAGCCTTCTGAGGAAGAGATCATCAAATTGGCTCCTCCACCGAAGAAAGCCTGAGCAAGGGGGAGGAAGAGGAGGAAGGTTGGACCTTCATAGGACCACTCCCTTCCCCCAGCCTCCAGGGGAGGGGGCAAAGGCACCCCCCACCCCCACAAATCTACCCACTTACTAACCTGGTCCTAACCCCCTTACTGTGTGCGTGTGTGTGTGTGTGCACACGCTCTGGCTGTCTGTCTACATGTCTAGCTCATCTAGCTCCTCTTCCTTGTGAGGGGCTGGGGGTCAGAGGCTGGGGTGGGGGGCTGAGTGTTCCCACTCTCGGGAAACTGCGTATAGAAATGGGCACATTCCTCCTATTCCCCCTTTCTCCGCTTTCCCACCACCTCTCGCAAGCGTGAGAGCAAAATGGACCTGCATGTTCCTACATTGAGGAGCCAAAGTGGGAGTGAGACACAGGAGATGCAGGCGGGAGGGAAGGTGAAGAGGCTACCCAACCTCCACCTGGGAGGGGCAAAGAAAAGCCCGAGTTCAGAGTTCGGTTTTACCCCACGCTGGACTGGCTGTGGAGTCCAGCTATTCCTCAGGTTGAGGGGCCTCGGTACCAGCAGGTCCCGTTGTGCTCCCCTCAGATGGGTATGAGCCAGGATCGAATGACAGGACCATGGATCCTTTCCTAGCCCCAAAGCAGAGCACCCAGCATTAGGTTCCCCCACCCATCTGCTCTGGAGAGACTGTGCTGGGAGAATGCCCCACTGAGCCTGAGCCGGGGCTGAGGGGCTCCTTCCCCTCCTTTATTCCTACTCAGACTGTTGCACATACTGACCCCGAGCCTCGGGAGGTTGGGGAACGAGATTCTTACGTTTTCACTCCAATTCTGCCCCCACCTACAGAGTCCCAGAGTGGTTATGTAGGAAACTTTCCCTTTCCCTGGTCTAGAACACCCCAAGCCCGAAGTAAGGGAAGGAGTTAATGACAGTGTTTTCCTTGCACTGACCCCCAATTCAACCCAGGAAGGGACTTGGGAACCCCTCTCCCGCATCCTGGCGCCTTGGGCTTGTGAACGCCTCCTCTCTAAATCACTACAAGTACAGTGACCCCGGCCTCCTGCCTGCCCCTCCCCACCCTGACCGTGCTAACTGTGTGTACATATATATTCTACATATATGTATATTAAACCCACACTGCCATGTCTGCCCTTTCTTGTGGTGTCTAGCATTAACTTATTGTCTAGGCCAGAGTGGGGGTGGGAGGCGAATGCCACAATGAAGGGAGTGGCAGAGTCAAATTCCTACATAGTCAGAACAAAACTTATTTTTTAACTTTAAATTCACATGTAATCTCAAGAGACTAGAGAAAGTTTATGTTAGGAGCTTCTAGGATGTGGGAGCAAAACTTGAATGGGAGGGGTGGCTGTTGGAAGAGGGAAGAAGCCAGACTGGTTGGAGAGCACCTTCCACTCCTAGCCCAGCCCAGCCTGCCTGTCCCCTCTGGCCACTGCTGCGGACACCTGCCTTAACACATACACCTCGAGTACTCCAGTTTTGCCTTAAAGGACCTTCCCAAGTTCCCCAGCCCTGTCTGGCTTCTCCCTGAAGGAGAGAGAAAGACTTGTAGAATTGGGAAAGGGAAATGAGCATGAATTAATTGTCTTTCCAGTAAGGGTATATTATATGAGAGCAAGAGACCGAGAATGAGGATGAATGAGAATGAGTAGGAGCCTTCCTTTGAAGAGAGGAGAGGATGAGATAGGGAGAAGGCAGACAGGGTCGTTTCAGCAGTCTAGTAATTGCTCTGTAAGGCAAAATCATCTAAAAAGACTAACTGTCCCGTTCCCCCCCCCCCCCCCCCCCCCCCCCGGGTATTGCTGTGAGACTGCTCATTCCTGTGCTCCTCTGTGTAGTGTGCACGGCCTTGTCCTAACCCTGGAATAAAGGTGATTGACTGAACTGTATCTGACTGATTCTAGAACTCAGATGAATGATCAGGATTTTGGAGTCTCTGAATGGCTGGTAAGGGAGGGAAAGCAGTATTTACCCCCAAATCCCTCACTGCAGCCTGGAACAGGCCAGGAAAACACCCCTAACAGTATCTCCCCTGCCCCATCTCCTAGGTATCACTGAGCTATGGGGCCTATTCCACCTACAACAGTCTCCAGTTGGGAGCCCAAGCACTGAAAACATGGATATTCCAGATTAGATTTCCTAAAGTGTAATAAGGGCAGGGCCAGGTACCTATATTGGAAGGAGCAAAAATAGCCCATCACAAGTGAATGGCCCACTACCACACAGAGAGCAGTCCGGGGCGGGGGGCTTTACCAAGAGAAAATATACAACCAATTCCGAGCGCATGGTTTTGTGCCCACTCCATCACCTCACCCATTAGCAACAGGAGCACAGATCACTGTCAGCACATAGTCCCAACCTCCGAAAGAAGAGCCGCTAGGAAACGGGGCAGAAGGAAGGAGTGTCGGGAATTCCACCCTTTTCCTCTTCCCTTCGTTCCTAGCCTGTTCTAATAGAATGTGACTGCCGCAGGATGCAGAATTCCTGGTTGAGGGTGCAAAGAAATAGCAGCAAAAGCATTTAAGGGCAAGAATTCAACTGGGACTTTCATATTCAGTGACCAGTGAGAAGAAAGGTGTCCAAGGTCCAGCCACCTTAATCAATCCTTAGATGAATGGCCTGTCCCTCACGCCCAAGATAAGATGGGGATAAGGTATAAAGGAAAGCCCAGGCGGTCTTATCCTATATATATTCTTCCAGTATTAGGAAGATTGCTGTTGTGGGGATTGATGGTATAAAGAATCAAGCAGCTAAAAAAAAAAAAAAAAAGGCAACAACAGCTAAAGCGAAGAGTGTCTTCTGTCACACACGATCCTAGGAGAGACCGTCTGCAGTGGCAGGACCTTTTCTGAAATCAAAGTTCAGTCAAGTTTTAAGGATGAGCCAGTCTCTGGTTAGAAGAGCCATCCTGGGAACCCCCGACAAGAGAGGTAGGAGACCTGAGGCAAAGAGCTGAAAGCAATGTCCTGTTTCCCCAACCCCGAAACAATGGAAGCAGGGAACGGGAAAATGGAGAATCCTTCCATTCTTGAGCCTCTCACAACCCAAGGGGTTAGCCCCAATCTCTAATGGCCAAACAAGAGTAGGCTACCCCCTCCACACCATTACTCTCCATCACTCTCTCCTGTAAGCCCCTTTATTGCCATCACAGAGAATAGGTAGGTATTTCAGCTTGAACAATAATGTTAACATGATACATTCAGATTTGACTTGCTTTTTAATATATTTATAATAGATATAAAATTAGGCTTCTAACAGTGATAGGGACAGGGAGATTGCTGCCACCAAACAACTTTTTTTTAAAGTAACAGAAGAGGTAACATCCTTCCTATTCTTCCTCCACTTCTGCCCCTCTTCCCACTTCCCACCAACCTCCCTCACCAGATATTAGGGGGTGATGGGATGAAGAGAAGAGAGTAAGGGATACATAATCAAGTGCAAAACACTGTGAAAAGTAGAGAGGATGGATGGGTGGGAAGGAAAGTGAAGAGTGTGGATGGTAAGGGCTCTAAGGACT